AATGAAAACACAATAAAAAATAGCATGTTACAGCATTACGTAATACTTTTTTTTCTGACAAACTACATTAATCATTAAGACCAATCGGGAACCTTCGTCACTTTCCGTAAAAGGGAAAATGTCGCCCTAATCCGATTGTATAAGTGTTGTTATGTCGTTTTCAACACAAGGGCTTAGAAATTTATTTCTGGCATCTTTACATTATAAAGTGTATATTTATGGGAGATATTGAGACACTTTATCATGAATTATAATAATTTCCGTACTTTGAGGCTTTTGAAATCTTTTTAGAAAATAGAAAATAGTGTCAATCTATATACATTTTATTTCCATAGGGCTAATATTTTGTGGTTTTCCACAAATACAAATTTTCGTGGGTAAATAATTTCGTGGATAACTCTTGCTCATAAAATCCGCTATTAGTAATATTGTAATCCACGTCAACGACTGCGTATTTATCAGTTTGTAGATTTAGAGTATCCACTAATCAAACGGAAATAACTTCTCACGGAAAATAATTGATTTTACAGCATGTTCTAAATAGCATTATTGATATTCTTATGAAAGGAAACGAAAGGTCGCTGGCCTGCTTAAAGGGAGATAATCAGATAACCGTTCTGATTTCATATAATATTGATAAATAGGTCGAATGATTCCATACTATTCAACCATCGACAAATGTTACTGGAGGCTCAAAACTGTGCGGTGGGACACTCAACTTTAAGACTCTAATGAGAGGTCTTGAATTTAAAAGAGAATTATAAATAAACTGTCTTTGTTTATCTTATAAAATTTACAAAGGGATATGTTTTCATGAATATGCCGAAAAAAATCTATGTTCCGCTTTTATTTAAGGTATATTATATAGATTGTATATAGATTGAAACGATAGACACAAAAATAAATAATAATAAAAAAAAAAGAAAACACTAAAAAAAAGCGAAATACCTGACGATATTATGACGACTGACATCCCATTTTTGCGTGTGGCGAAGTTTCTATACCTCAAAGAGTGGGATAAACACTAATGAAAAAGCGATATAATAATATTTTAATTTCAACGTGTAAAATATAGTTAATATTTTTTCCTGAAGAGGACTATACCTTTTTTAAGTAGGTAATATTTATTGTCTCTTGTCACCATAAAGAGTCAAATCGCTTTCGTAATATATTCTAGAATATAAAGAACGGACCGGGTTTGGTTTTTTGAGCGTGTCATTAACGCAGACTTGTCTCACTTTATCACCCATTAATGTCAAACGTATTAATGATATTGACATTTTTATTGTCTCCTACTCATTATGTACACCTGCGTCTGCGTCTTGCTTATAAAATGTAATTCATCATTACTTCCGGTAGTCACAACAATAATTGTCATCAACCACTACCTCAGAAATCAAAATTTCTGTTTATGAAATACGAGACATAAATATTTCTGTGTTTAGTGAAAAGCAAAATTAAGTTTAGCGTGAATGAATTAATCAAATGTGTCATTTTGGCTTAGAAGGAAACTACATCTTTAAGACACCATTTCATAACTTATATATGTCTTGGAAATAGACTTTATACAAAATTTTAGCCGAACAAATACAAAACAGCATCAAGTTTTTTTATATATTGATTTCAATTAAGATTTGTATGAAATAATGCGTGCGCTATCATGACGAAAACAACGTGTACTTGGTCTCTTGATTGTAAACATGGTTTCGGTAAAAAAAAAAAAAAAACTTTTGTTAATCGAATACAGACTGATCGCCTAATTTCCCCCCTTGTACCAAATTAACATATCAACGGCCATAAAAATCTGTAACATTGACATATCAATTAGCATATCCAAATACGTAAAATAGCACATTCACCAGAAGCCTGTTACACCTAACGACAGTATGTACTGGTGTTGACCTTTATGTAGAGCAAGGAATTAACACCAACTGAAAACTCCTTGTGTACATGAATAACGGGGTTTTTAAAACCCGAATTGATACGCAAGACAAAGAGTCCTAGATATTAACCTTACTTCTTATAATTAACCTTTTCACTAAAACTATTTGCGTAGTAATTTCATGGATCTAAAATCGATCCTATTTTTTTTCTTTTTCTGTTCCGTAGTGGAAAAACGTTACTAGTACAGTAGTGTGTAACGATTGCGTTGTGAAATTTTATAACAAATGGCATTGACATAAAAATGAATATCCGAATATTCGAGTACTGAATCAGACGAATATTCGAGTACTGAATCAGACGAATATTCGAGTACTGAATCAGACGAATATTCGAGTACTGAATCAGACGAATATTCGAGTACTGAATCAGACGAATATTCGAGTACTGAATCAGACGAATATTCGAGTACTGAATCAGACGAATATTCGAATACTGAATCAGACGAATATTCGAGTAGTCATTTTTAACAAATTGACGTCCTTATTGTAAACACATTACACTTGATAAAAACATTGCTAATATTTTAATTCGGTGTTATTATTTCTTATTCTGTGCTAACCTCTCTAACTCTGTGTTTATCTTTCTAATTGTATCTCAACCTTTATAGTTATGTGTTTTCTAATTCTGTGTTTTTAAACTCAGTGTCAACCATTGTAAATTAGGGATGATCTTCGAAACGTTGTGTTAGCTTTATCTACTCTGTCTTAACCTTTCTCATTCTGTCTTAACCTTTCTCATTCTGTCTTAACCTTTCTCATTCTGTCTTAACCTTTCTAGTTCTGTCTTAACCTTTCTAGTTCTGTCTTAACCTTTCTAATTCTGTCTTAACCTTTCTTATTCTGTCTAAACCGTTCTCATTCTGTCTTAACCTTTCTCATTCTGTCTAAACCTTTCTAATTCTGTCTTAACCTTTCTCATTCTGTTTAACCTTTCTCATTCTGTCTTAACCTTTCTAATTCTGTCTTAACCTTTCTAATTCTGTCTTAACCTTTCTTATTCTGTCTAAACCGTTCTCATTCTGTCTTAACCTTTCTAATTCTCTGCTTAACATTTCTAACTCTGTGTTAACTATCACTTACTTACTTTCTAATACTATGTTAACTTTTAAAACTGAGAGTTAATCATTATACATTAGGAATGATCTCCCAAACATTGTCTTAGCTTTTCCTTTCTAACTCTGTGTTTAACCTTTCATACACTATGTTAATTTTCTATCTCTATATCCACCTATTTAACACCATATCACATTCTCTAACTTTGTGTTAACCTTTCTAACTAAGTGTTTACCTTACCCACAAAAGTGTTAACTTTTCTAACAGGTACACAGTTCTTACACAATGATTTTAATACACTTTCTTGTACACATTAAAAACTTTGTTGATACAATGATAAGCTTGATCATAGGCTATCATCCCTCCTTGTCGATTATAATTTACAACACAATCAAACTATGTAAATAACACTGTGATTAATCAATCGAAATTGAAATGGTATTTATAGGCAATATGAATGACATACCTTTCCAAAAAATCATACTTTTCACACTAAATTGATTACCAATATCATAAATTTATCTGAAAATCTGCTTCATTTACACTGAATGTAAATGTCAAATAAAATCATTTGGATGGGAGAACTGTTGTGGTCAACAGGGATAGGTTGTTATCATAAAGATCACTTGATTGATAGCATTTACTTTTTGATAAATGCCACTTCTGTCTTATATATTTTTACGGGTTTATAGAATCGCATTGCATATGAAGTCGAGGAAAGCTGTTTTGATGTGAAGTTTTACTATAATATAATATAATAATTTTGTATTGTACAATATTGATTTTCAGAAATTAATTGAGAGAAATATAATCCTGGTCAGATTTTTTTTATATTTCTTTTTTAAAGAAGCAAAATCATGATGACAATATTCGTTCATTGTTCAATCATACAATTGTGAAATGCTTCCCGGATAAGACTTAATATATGATGTTATTATTAGATATAAAGTATATATACACAGGTAACATTTACCTTTGACCAATCACGAATCATTTCCTGGTGTAACAAAACTCCTACATGTATACGGTACAGAGTTTTTACAATGTTTACAACGTTATGTAAGTAATACATTTCATATTAATGAGATACACTTTCAATTTTCAAAAAAAAAAAAAAAAAAAATTAATTAAAAAAGTGACAATTTCATATATTATGAAATTCCAGTCAAGCAAATTTCAGAAATTAAAACTCGTGTTCTTGTATATTTGAAGGATCATGAATGAGTTTCTATTTAATAAGGTAACACGTCTCTAAGAATTGTTAATTATAGTGAAATGTTAGCGAGTTCAGATAAAACAATATGACGAGTTTCCTAAATAACAAATTAAATGGGAACGAATTAAAAATAATAAACATCACATAATTTTGCAGAAAACGGACAATTTCATATAAAACATTTAGTAATTTCTTTGTCGATTTGTATGATATCCATTGTCACGTCACAATCCTATCTGTATGACGTCATAACATAAACCTTACGTCACAATACATTACACATGTGTAATACGCAAAAAAACATCACGAGTGTAATAACTGAATATGAGATGATCAGATGACGATTGCACATATACGTCATCTCCAATTCTCAGACGATTGATGACGTCATTAAGGAATGACGTCATAAAGGGGTGGCGTCATGTTTAGTACCGACTCAATGGAACGCATCGCTAAGCAGCTTGTGAATAACAAAACTGTCTCTATATAGAAGATACGTATCACAATTTAATTGTATTTTTTTTACCTGAATATGGACTCCTACACGTACGATTCATCTTGTGACGTGCTTGATGATTGTTTACATGTAGTTACTCTATTAAGATATTAAACATAACAACTATTTTAAAAAAATCAACAGAAGTCTTGTGAATTCTAGTTTGGAATAGATAGTCCATTAGTCCCAATCCAGTGAAACCTTTTTGGAACATTTTTCTTTCGGAATAAACTATCGATATACTTTAAAGCATCTCTTCTAAAACTACTGAATAGAATTGAACCAAACTCACCTCGAATGATGTCACTTTGTTTCCGATTGCCGAGAGTTTTGTTTCGGTAAAATACCTTTTCGACCACAAGTTTGTAATGACTAGTAGATGCATTCTGTGCAAGAAATTGTCCCACGTGAGTTTCATTTAAAGCCTCGGTGTGAAATGTAACGGGATTTCCGCATGAATCCGGAGGTGCACCGTAAATAAACCCATGTACGACACAAAGGAATATAACGATTAAGAAAATCGACAGCACCAGTCTTTTTCCTCCGAATTGGCACAATACATCCCCGGCCATTTTCGCAACAGCAGGCTTAAGTCACAGGTAGACAAACCAAAGAACTTCTCACCTGTGATCACGTGATTATAAAGGTAACATGTGCATGTCAGGAAAGACCTGTCAATCAGCTACAGGTAAGACAATCCAATACGAGGTCAAATGCCAGCCAATATCTGATGAGACGAGACTTAGCACATGGTATGATAAATACGTTAATGTCGACAGCGGTCATAAAACTTGAAATGTCAACAATAGCTTTGTCAGGCCTTGTGTGACCAACGACAACGACCGTTGAATCACATTTAGTCTAACTTCACTGACAAAAAATGTAAAAAAAAAACTAATGACTTTAACGTGTCTCAGCGTTCAGGTAAATTAGTAATCATAGACATGGACTTTGTCAAGGTATAAAAAACGTACTTCGTGAGCACGCGACGAAGCATTAAGTTTGTATAACCGTCTTCAAATGTTAAGTGACAGGTTTATATTGTTTGGGGAAATAAATAGCCACATCCTAAAATTATAATTAAATTTCACACTTGACAGATAGATGAACTACAACAATACGGTTTTTGAAATAATTCGAATATAATGAAATATATGTAGGAGATTTCTGTGTAAAACTGAGATTTGAATTCGTCCGGAACAGAAAGATCAGCAAGTGCACGATATGGAGAAACGTAAAACAAAATGATCAAAAGAAAAAAAAGGGTGAAAAAACAACAATAAAAACCCGAAACAAACAAAAAACAAAAACAAGATACAAAATGAACAATGGACTCTGTAAATTTGGTTACGTGTTCATCACACCACATGTTCGATCTTCGCGCAAATCAATTTTGGCGGTGAGAGGTCCTCCACGTAAAGACAATATATAAATGACCAATAGCACGTTCCAAAATTCCCAACATTAAAAATTAATCAATAACCGCGTAAGAGTACAACCTCAAAGAGTTCAGATATTATTTAAATACATTAAAGTGATAATGTAAAACATTAAGTAATTGCTTTACTCGTTAAAACGTGTCAAATCTGACGCATAAATTATGTCATTTATTATCACGTTACCATTTTAATTATCTCTAAATGACGTGAATTCTTCCTAACAATTAACAAGTGTCAGATTAATGTCTTATCATTCAGTCTAAAAGGCGTAATCACTCAGCTCAATCGAGTAAAAACAACAAGTAAATACCAGCATGTCAACAAAATCAAAATCCAAATTCAAATTCAATAAAAATTATGGCAAAGTATAAAAAAAATCCTCAAGGAGACTCATGAAAAAGTAGAAGCAGAAAAAAGACCAGGTGTTCCTGAAGTTTAAATGACGACAGCAGCCATATTAATCTTGGTCAATCAAAATAAGTAATGATACGTTATCTCGTAAGAACATGATGTAAACAACGGCAGACTAACGAACATCAAACTCGTCCAGCTTCATATCGCATAAAAATAGAACATTTTCAGTGGGATCGTGCTAGATTCTGTATCTGAAACAGTTCTTTTGGATCTCTTTTCAATTTGTCCTTACTTCCCAACTGAAACTCGACATTTTTCGTCCCTATTTCCACGCTGAAGGATGAAACAGATGTATTGTACATTCATATATACATTCACTTATTTGTATGTAATTCCAAATGTAGTTCATTTGTGTGTCTTTTAGTGAGTATTGACCAATACTTAAGACTGTGCAGAAATTTAAATCACGATGATTTTGTCACCTGGAAAATACGGCATTTGTTTGAAACTGTGTAAATGATAAAATAGTTTACTGCCTGGTGACTTTTGATAATGAAATGCGTATGCCATGAAACTGTATTGAGGCAGTGTTTGAGAACAACCCGTTTGGCATGTAACTTTGTATAGCTTTGATGCCTCGTCTCGCCCCAACCAAGCCCCTTCAGTTTTTAGGAAACGGAGCTCTAAAATGAATCTCTAACAGCCAGGAGAGGGACGCGATTACGATTTGCTCGCAGCAAATAAGATAGCATAGCAAATGCCAGGAACGTAATCATGATTTCGTAGCATGTGTCTAGATAAATAATCATGATTATTGTACAACGTCAGAGGACAGAAATAGATTGGCATGCAGTTGCGAGAAGCAGAATCATGATTGATGCAAAGAAATGCTGAGTTGAAGAAGGACCTTCTCACAAAAGTACAATTCATCTGACATGAAACTGACATTGTTTGTAGCATAATATTTCCTCTAGGTATATTTACAACGGTCAAATGGCCAAGCCACAGACGTTAATGTGTGGCCAGAGGGCCGATTATTTGTCATTCCTTAACCGTATCCGAACAGAGTGACCATCGTCCAAACTCGCAGCTGACAGGGGCTGTCACTTAAGGGTCAACAAGTGGAAATTATAAAGAAATTTATTACATGGCCATTGGTTACTAAATAAACGTGGATCTTGACCCTTTGTTTCACAACAGACACTAGGACAATCCAAATTGTTACATAAATTCCTAAAGAAAGAATCTGCAATTTTCAATGTTTCCCGGCGACATATCCAATACATTTCAAAAAAAATTTTTAATAAATATATGACTTTACACGAGTTTCAGACTGATAAGTGAACTTATAAAACGAGTACTACTCTTTTTTTCAACGCACGTTTCTATTAAATTTGAAGTCATTTTAGCTCTATGTTTTTGGTCTCTTTGTTTCGTCATAATGCAAATCTTTGAATTTGTGACGTCATTTCATTATCTAAAGTGGCGTCATAACAAGCTATATATTAGCATATGTAATACGCCAAAATATTACGCGAACATCTTCACAAAATATAAAATATCGTGTGGTACACCATTGTACTGTGAAGTTTATTATTTTCGGTTGTTCAAATTTTCGCGGCTCTACAAAACCTTGAATCACTCGACGTACTCTCCGTGGAGGTGATGACATACTTCTGTTATCTGTTATACATCATCTAGATTCGTGATTTTATCCATCTTTAAATAACGAAAAAATAGATATACTCTCGAAGTTAAAAATACTTATCATAATGATCATACTAAATATGAAGGGGATAATTGATCATTTCATCAAGGAATGTCCAGAAATATGCTAAACAACATTGTATAATGCTTGTGCGATAACAGTAGCGCCTCGCGGATGATGTCGAACCCTGTGCCAACTAGTGTGAAAACGATATACACGATGAACGTATTTAGAACAAATAAAGGTTGTTTACGTCAGAATTCTTAATACATTATTAAACCTGAATAGTTCTTGGTGAAGATGATCGTAAAAACACACTTGAAAACAGCGGGAAAAGGATGAAGAAAACGAAGAATCGTGACGAGTTTAATAAATCTCGTAAATAAAAATCATAATGATAGATTCTATTTATCACATAACTTAGATTGACTTAAAAGCATTCGTGAAAACAGCAATTTTTACTGGTATAGAAAATAAGATGAAATGATATTCACAGTCCAGCTCTATTTATTTGGTGACGTCACAAAGTTATGATGTCACAATTGAAAAAAAATGAACAAGATGTATCTCAGGGGTTTCTATAAAATGCAACGTTGACCTGAAACTGGCGATTTCCTGCACGATAAGGTATCGTCGCGAATTCATAAACTAGACTAAAATAGTAACCAGGGATTTCAATGACGCGAAGTTATAACTGCAAATTCATAACCTGGACTAAAAATAGTAACATGGAATTTTCGTAACATGAGGTTTGCATCGCAATTTGATAACGTATAAAAACGTGTCATATAGCAAAATAGTGTCTATGTTTTTATGAGGATTTTTCAACCTGAGAAATGTAATAACACATGCGGCCTCAAGTTAACAAATCCTTGTATCAACCTAGGAAACAGTCAATACTTGTATATCATTACACTGACAATAGAGTTCATGGGAGCTATGTGAAAACAAAACAAACAAACAAAACTTAAGTCCCGAAAACCTCAGCACACAACATCATATATCATCATAAACATCACATTTGTTGATTTTGCTAAAATTCAGCAACATTATTGATAAATACTTATATGTATATACTCATTTATTTATTGTCATTATATCCTTTGACTTATTTGGAGAATATTTCTTTATTTGCATATCTGATTTGTACGTGCTAAAGATGTTGACGATCCATGCGAGCTAAGCTACAGAAACGCTGTCTTGACCATACTGCAAACATTTCTATTAAGTGAAAGGATATATTATTACACACAAAACGAACAGTTTTGTAAGACTTACATTGGATGTAAGGGGCGATAACTCATACGGTTAGAGCGATCGAAAACGTAACGTAGGTGAAATAACATTCTGTAATATAAAATTGTGTCGTGGCGGTTTGTGTTTTCACGGATGATCAGAAGCTGAGAAACGGACCGGTCTTTGCTACTTAGTGTGGTTGTGTCCTTGGAGATGGCATGTCAACAGCTTCCAGCATGTTGTTCAGTAAGTTAGTCACCGGCCATTATAAGGAGACCCCTCCTTATAATGACCCAGGACGTTAGATTAAACAAACGAACAAACAAACCGGAAATAAATAAATAAATAAATAAATAAACCCATTGATTATTTGTACTTTTGTCGTCCATTATGATAACTCCTTCATGACACCAGCAGTTTTCGTGGACATAAATAGAGTACATGTACTTTATTCTGATAGATAACATTTCATCCAGTTGATACTAAGAAGGCCAAACATGTAATTATGCAGAAACTTTTCAGATTTCACAAAAATTCATTCACAAAAGCAATATTAGATATAACGATAATATGACAAATGGAAAACAACTATTGATTGCGACATTTACTGATGCTGAAACTGGAAGATTACTTCCGGAATGGAGATTTCTGAAAATGACATTGTTTGTGTTGATTTCTATTAAAATTGAACTCGACCCACGCGAAAAAAAGAATTAATTTTACAAAACAACTACTGATGTAACGACAATGTAATCAAATTTTAAGTTGTAGTCGCAGTATATCTGTCTACAGAAAATATAAGCGAAAGATAATGTATCTATTCATTAAAATACAAATAAGACTCAAAGTTTATGATAAAAAAAAATTTAGTCGATACTTGATTTTATGCCTTTTTGTAACGAAATTAGCAAAGATTAATACCCAATTAAAAGAAAGCTTTAAAGAATAATAATTAATTAATGACGTCACAGAATTGATGACGCACGAAGCAGTTTTATACTGCTTCATTACGTATTTATCAACTGACATGAGAAATGCAGAAGCGGTGATGTATGGATTAAGAAATTCTTTAAACTTCAGGGCGCAACCGATGACGTATGATACTTTGACTTGAAAAGGCATGAAAATGGCGTCAATGGGTCAACACTGACCATTCACGTGACCGGGGCGATTTATAACCATTAACTGCACACCTGGGGCGACGTCACCGGATATTATTAATGCTAACCTGGTCACATTACTACATAACGTTTTAATACACTCATATTGACCTACTTGTTTCGTGGACAATTCATCAGGGCATCAGTGTATATTTTTATTACAACATCTAAGTACATTTCATTTCAACATCTGTGTACATTTCATTACGACATACGTGTACATTTCATTACGACATCTGTGTAAATTTCATTACGACATCTGTGTACATTTCATTACGACATCCGTGTACATTTCATTACGACATCCGTGTATCTTTTGTTACGGCATCTGTGTACATTTCATTACGATATAAGTGTACATTTCATTTCGATATCCAAGTACATTTCATTACGACATTCGTGTACATTTTATTACGACATCCGTGTACATTTCATTACGACATCTGTGTACATTTCATTATGACATCCGTGTATATTTCATTACGACATCTATGTACATTTCATTACGACATCCGTGTACATTTCATTACGACATCTGTGTACATTTCATTACGACATCCGTGTACATTTCATTTCGATATCCAAGTACATTTCATTACGACATCTGTGTACATTTCATTACGATATCCAAGTACATTTCATTACGACATCCAAGTACATTTCATTACGACATCTATGTACATTTCATTACGACATCCGTGTACATTTCATTACGACATCTGTGTACATTTCATTACGACATCCGTGTACATTTCATTACGACATCTGTGTACATTTCATTACGACATCTATGTACATTTCATTACGACACCCGTGTACATTTCATTACGACATCTGTGTACATTTCATTACGACATCCGTGTACATTTCATTACGACATCTGTGTACATTTCATTACGACATCTATGTACATTTCATTACGACATCTGTGTACAATTCATTACGATATCCAAGTACATTTCATTACGACATCCAAGTACATTTCATTACGACATCTATGTACATTTCATTACGACATCCGTGTACATTTCATTACGACATCTGTGTACATTTCATTACGACATCTATGTACATTTCATTACGACATCTGTGTACATTTCATTACGACATCCGTGTACATTTCATTACGACATCTGTGTACATTTCATTACGACATCTATGTACATTTCATTACGACATCCGTGTACATTTCATTACGACATCTGTGTACATTTCATTACGACATCCGTGTACATTTCATTACGACATCTGTGTACATTTCATTACGACATCTATGTACATTTCATTACGACATCTGTGTACAATTCATTACGATATCCAAGTACATTTCATTACGACATCCAAGTACATTTCATTACGACATCTATGTACATTTCATTACGACATCCGTGTACATTTCATTACGACATCTGTGTACATTTCATTACGACATCCGTGTACATTTCATTACGACATCTGTGTACATTTCATTACGACATCTATGTACATTTCATTACGACATCCGTGTACATTTCATTACGACATCTGTGTACATTTCATTACGACATCTATGTACATTTCATTACGACATCTGTGTACAATTCATTACGACACCTATGTACATTTCATTACGACATCTATGTACATTCATTACGACATCTGTGTACATTTCATTACGACATCCGTGTACATTTTATTACTTTATTTGTGTAGATTTCATAACGTCATCCCTGTAGATTTCATTGCGAGGCAGACTTTAAAACCGATGTCATACTTTAAATTCTACCAGTACATACGGAAGAAAAGTCAGCAGTAAGCATTGTAGAAAGTTATACAATCCGTGACTTACCTCTGAGACTGTTAGTGGCTGGATTATAGGGACTAGCCGTAATCGTGTATTGACTGAATCGTCCGTTTTGTGCTGAAGCACCCATGTGTCCCGGTTGCAGGTTCACATTTCGACTAGCGAGATTATCGTAATAGCAGAAATTGGTTGGAGCACCTGATCGATACCCGGCTGTTACACCGATCAGGATTAACAGTCCAAAACATACAACGTGGGTGTCCATTTTTATGGAGCAATGATTTTGGTGTGTAGTCTACAAATGATTGTTGTTTTGTGAAGGACGTAGCACCACAAGACGCGAAGGACACACGTGCTGTTTTAGGCGCCCAAGGCAAGAGTCATCTAGACCGATGGTCAACAAGCGATGGTCATTTGATGTCAAGCCGCTTATCTCACATCAGGCGGAAAACTAAACCAATCTAGACATATACGTACATGTATGTGTGTCGGATATAAACGACTTTTGTGATAAAATAAGAAAACTGCGTCCCTGATACTAAAACCACAGATGACGTCACTACCAAGATTTAAGCTCCAAAGAGACACATACTGGCTCCTCAACTTATTCATGAAGATGTTTAAATGGTGTTCAGATACAATTTAAATCACCATCACACATTAATTATGTCCTTCATTAGCACATATTTGTTTGTTTGTCTTACACGTTAATGAAAAAGGCCAATGACCCCGGTGATAAAAGGTCATCCTGACGTCAACTTTATAGGTTGTAAAATAAGTACGTG